GAGACTGATCTGGTTCCTGTTCTTGCTTTTCCAAATAGTAACAAGCAAAATTCAAAAACTTTCCCCTGTAACCATTTAAGACAAAACTTAAAACCTGTAGTTTAACTTCAGCTGAAGCAACCTGTGAACACCAAAACTGGGTTAAATTCTTAGTGCTTGCGGTTGCAGAGCTGTACTAAAAAAGCCTAATTATGAAGCTAGACATAAAACAGACACACTTTTTCTGGAGAAGTAGTCCTAATCCACTCTCTTGTAAAATCACAGTGCAGTAATAATATTTAAAGGTTCACTTGTTCTGTAGGTTCAATTTTCTCGTTATGAAGTGTCTTGAGGTCTCTTTCCTCCTGAGTGATTCTATAGAAATTGCTTTTTCTGTTGACACAGTTTAATTTAGAACTGCCTTTCTCTAATATACACTTATTAGTGGATCAGATGCTTCTGAGGCTTTTATAAATGCAGATTCTTATATCAGAGCTCTCCAGTTATGGGTAGTAAAATGAAAAGGAACCACAACTTTAAAAATGGTATTTTCAACCCCAGTCTTTGGTCACTTGGTCCATTTGTCCATAATTACTATTGATTTAACTTAGTAGAACCAATCAGCCTGACTAATATGGCTTGATCTGGGCTTTTTGTCTGTTAGCTTCTTTAATTCTGTAGAAATGCATGGAAATATCACCTACTAGAAAGTTTGACCTGAAATGCCTTTTGTATGGGGGGTAGAGAACATTCCTGTGCCAGCTACAGAGATCTTAAAAGCTTCCATGTTTCATCAGTGGTTGATTAAAGCTGTTTCCTTTGTGTAATGTGTACATGGGAGTTGCATAGAGTTTTCTTGTATGTCTGTAGAGAAAAAGAAAAAAAAAAACCAAAACCCTTAGCCTCCAGTGCATTACTGTGATATGTTCTGTGCGTGCCAAATTTGAACAGCCTAAATAAATGGGCTTTCCCTCCCCTGGGTCAGTGACTGATTGCTCTCCAGCCTCGGGATCAGCCCTCCTGCAGGGGGCTGGCGCTGCTGGATCTGGGTAAGCACTTAGGGACCTGCTGTGCCTTCTGCAGCGCCTGCCCTGCTCTGCTCTGGGAGCTGGAGTGGGGGAAACAGGCTGGAAGGAAGAGCTGGTGAAGCTGGAGGGATCTGGGGGAAAGCAGGTTTGTCCCTGCAGTGTGTTCCCCTCTTTGGCTCTGCTTGCTGCAGCTCCCAAACCTCTCTCTGCCTTTAGGCTGTGGGCACAAATTCCCGTCGGCTGGGGCTGTCCTGGGAGCGATTCCTGTTTGCAGTCTGAGCCCAGGAGCCCAGCCATGTGTTGGGTGTTGGGCACTGCCTCCCCGTGAGGACGGAGGGAGCTTTCTCTGGCCAGGCCCATGGAGCCAGGGCAGAGAAAGGCCCTTCCCCCTGAGCTGTTGCCAGCTGTGCAGTGACAGAGAGCTGTGGTGTCCCCTCAGCTCCTGCCAGAGCAGTGCCAGCGCTGTGCTGGGGGCCAGGGCAACAATGGGCCATTACCTAACTCAGCATGTGCCCTCTCTGGCCAGGCTGAGTGGGTCAAACCCTTCATTAAAGACAGGCATTGACTGACTGCTCTGACTTGGCATCCACACGGGTCACAGGGCTGGGAGCACAAGCTTCTCTGGTGCAAAGGGACCCACTGGAGTGCAGCTTCCTGATTCTGACCAAAGCAAACTGGCCTGGATTCTGCTGGGGCTTCCAGCCTGTCTTTCAGTCAACTGGGGCCTCACCCAAGTGTGTAATGATCCTCATAAACAGCTCCTCCTTGCCCAGGTGTCTGCAGTTCTGATCCCTGTCCAAAGTCCACCTGGAGATAAGGAAACCACTGTGACACACTGGGAGTGGTGCTGCCTGACAAACAGGCAGCTCCTAGCCAAGATCCAGCTGATAGCTGGTGCCTCCAGGCTGCAGGCATCTTTATCTAGCCCAGGTGATGCTGTGGACACCTCTGCCTGGGACAGAAGGACACTTTCCTTCCTTGGTCATAAAATGGAGCGGGAGACACTGCAAAAGAGGAAGGATGTCAGACCTGGAAGGTAGGAGAGCATTTCCCACAATGTGAAAGCCCTTGGGTCAGGGACTTGGGTTCAAAGTCCCAGGAGTGAGTGATAAGAAGTGACACACTGGGCCTTGGCTGGGTGTGGTGCTGTAGCTTCAGCCCACTGGAGAGCTTTTAGGGCCCTCACAAGAAGTCCCAAAGTGATCCTTGTGCTGCAGAACTAACAGTAACTCTTAATCCTCAGAGCTGCAGTGCTGTGGGCTTGTCCACATCGTGGGGTTTGTGGCCACACTTCCCCTCTCAGGGTTGTTCTGCTTTTTGAGGGGGTGAAACTTTTGTGACTGTTTTTAAGATTTCTCCCAAGTCACCCAAACCTTCTGAAAAGGCAAGACAAGAAGGGATAGACAGCATGATGAATGCTTCCTATAACTTGGCTGGTTGCTGGTGGGAGTAATCACTTCCTGACAGGGGCACATGAAGAAAAAGGTGAAGGATTGAGGTGAGGGAGGCAGCTCAGTCACACTTGCTCAGCTAGTGTGAACATTTTGAAGTACACATGCAGGCAAGGGTTTCCCAAAAGCCATTTTTGGTCATTTGGCCTGTGAGAAAATGAGAACAGGAAATAGAGACTGATAATTCAAGCCTAAGTGTAAACAGCAGGCGGTGTAAATGTAATTTACAAGGAGGGTTAAATTGAGTCTCTTCAACTGTACCTTGATAAGCCCAGGTACCCAGGCTGAAAAGTAATTCCAGTCATGGCTGAATCAGCAGAAGGATCCAGTGTTCTTATTCCAAGTCACTCCAGCTGAGCAACTTGTTGATCTTTATCAATAAAGGTACCTGCCTGCAGTGCTGGGGCTGCTCTGAGTCATGGGCTGACAAGCACCAAGCCCGGGTGACTCTTCTGGAGGAAAGGAGGTGACTCTGGGTGGGCACATGGCAAAATCCCAAATCCCACCAACTGGGGGGAAAGAGGAGCTGGCCAGGCCTCAGCTCCGTGTGCTCTTGGGCAAGGTGTGCCTTTCTCTGGCCCCTCAAGATGTCCTTCCCCTTCCATCAGGGTGCCAAGGGAATTAAAACATGGCAACAGTACCATTCCAGGTGTAAAAAACTGATGAATGTCTTTCTCCAAAAAGAGTTCTTTTATTTGAGCTTTGTTTCAGAGGAACAGTGCTCCTGTCTGTGTTCCTAAAACAGGCAGCTGGGTGTTGTGTGCCAGCAGGGCGTGGTGTGCCCTGGGGCTGGGCACACTGGGACAGCCCCCACTGGAGCCAGCATGCTCCATGGTGCACTTGGAGCACGACTGCCCTTCCTGCCCTGGCTGTGCTGGCTCTGTCACTGCTTCTGTGCAAGGCCTGGGCCTCTGCTCTCTGTGCACAGCAGCTCACAAGAAAGGAAAGAATTGTTGCAAAAACCAAAAACTGCAAAAACCAAAGGAACTGCGTCACTTCCCGGCACCTGCAGCTGGCAGGGCCCTTCCTGCCCGTGGCTCTTGGGGGTGAGAGCCACCCTGCCATGCTCCACAGCTCCCTCCTGCCTGTGGCTTGGGTGGGGGTTTTGTGCAATCCAGGCATTGCCTCGCTTTTGGGGAGCTTCCATCCAGCAGGTCGGGCATGCTGGGCTGGGGCAAGTGACAGCGCTGGCAGGCTGAGGTCACCAGTGGCCCTTGATTCGTGTGTTCCTCCACATGTGCCACAAAGTCCAGGACGATAAACCACAGGCTCACCCTGGCTCTGGGGCAAAGGTCTGCTTCCTTTGTGGCTCCAGGATGGGGACAGCAGCCCCCTGTGGCACCTGTGCTGGGACAGGGAGTGGGGGGACACACACAGGGGTGGCTCTCAGCTCCCCCTTTCCTTGGCCCTTGTTCTTACCTGGTCCCAGCTGAGTCACACACAGCCCTCCCCCAGCTTTCATCACAGCCCCAAAAGCCGCAGTGCTGAGGGAGGGACAGGATGTCCCAGGCCTGTGGAGTCTCAGGGGTGCAGTACAGGGGTTGGTCACACACTGGCCATCCCCAGGAACAAAATGGAAGCAGCTCTGCCCCTCATCCTCCTTCCTGGCCTTGGCTCTCTGTAGGCACTGCAGGGACTGAGGGGCCTTTTTCCTCCCTCTCTCAAAGCCTGCTGATGTCAGCACTGGGCTCAGCAGCTTTATTGTGGGGAGACAGCACCAAGCTGTCACGTGGCCTCTGCCATTTCCTAAGAAACCAGCTTGAAAATGAAAAAGAAAGGAAAAAAAAAGAATAATAAAAGAACAATTAAAAAAAAAAATAAATAAAAAGAAAAGCAACAAGAAGCAAGAGCAGAGGACTAGAGAGCCTGACAGTAACCAAGGGCCACCACCACCACACAGCACACACAGGGACAAATTACAGGGGAGCACTCAGGTTTAAAGCAAGTAGGAGGAATGGTCCTGTCCCCACCATGCCCCTAGTGCCATGGCAAAAGTGTCAATCCCTCTGCCAATCCCACACAGGGAGGCCAGGCCTGGACCAGCAGTGGGAAACAGTGGGAATGAAGTTTCTCTCCTTTGCTTGTAGTGAATAAAAACCAGGGGATGGCTTCTGTGACACAGCTCCTGGCCAAAGTCCTTCTTCAGGGATCCCCAAAGCCCTACCTGGCTTGCAAACTTAAAAAAACCCAACACAAACAAACCTCCAAGAAAAATAAAGCAAGGACAAGCTCTCTCCACTACGTCATTTTAATTGCATCGACACCCAGAAATAAACGTGCCAAGAGCCACCCAGCCAAGAGGCATCCTTCCATGGTGGGTCTTTCTTTCACACTCCTTTCACTCAAAAAAAAAAAAAAAAAGAAAAAAAGAAAATAAAAGAAAAAAAAGGAAAAAAAATATATAATTATAATTGCACTGGTTGATGTACAAGCACAGTCTCTTCCCTTTTCACACACTGGTGGGTTCTGCTGGAACAGGAGGGTGAAGCCCCAGCGTGGCCACAGCAGCTCCCCAGGAAATGAAGAGTTGTACAAAACAGTATGAAGATTTTCTTACAAACTGCAGTGTTTACTGGTTGGTTTTTTGGATTTTTTTTTGTATGTTTTCTTGTAAGTTTCAAAACTAGGTTTTGGGTCACTAATGGCCTGTATCTTTTATCTACAGTAAATTTAGCATAAATTTTTATTTTTAGGAATGTGTAAGGCATTTTGGTAAGTTAACTGTAAGGTCCAGGGTGAAGACTCATCAAACTGAAGTCCCTTCCTTTGAACTGTCCTCTTGCCCCTGGAGAACAAAAAAAGAAGTGGGTTACTCAGCTGGCCTCACCCTTATTCTCATGGCAGCTAAAGGCCCAAAGCATTTCACAGATGGGCCAGGTCCTTGACCAGCATCTCGTGTGGTCTCAGCCTTTCCCAAAAGCCACCCAAAAATGGTTTCTGGCAGCAAGGACCACCTTGCCTCCACTCTTAAACCCCTGCCTGCTGCACACTGCCCCAGCACCAAGGGGAGGGACATGGCCACCACCAGTACCATTTCATGAAGCTGTTCTTTCAACTTCTTCACCATTTCTCTCTCTTTGGCCAGTTGGTCCTGGGAAACCTTCAGTAGCTCCTGTAGCTTGGTTGCTGCCTGGCCCAGGTCCTTTGTTAATTTTTTCTCTTTTTCAAGTCTTTCCTACATGGCAGTCAAAAGAAGGCACCTGCCTGAGCCTCCCTTTGCCACCTGGTGACCTTCCCCATTTCAAAACACCTCAGGTCTGCATCAAGCTGTCTCAGTGACCACAGGCCAGGGGAACACCCAGTTCCCACCTCAACAGGGAGAACAGGCACCCCCAGAGCTCTCTCTGGCTCCCTGGAGATGCCGTGGGCCAGGACTGGATGGTTTCCCAGTGTGTGGAAAGCCCAGCCTGTGACTGTTTGCTCAGAGCACCACACTGATCTCAGCCTGCAGGGATGCAGTGGCCCTGCTGTCCTTCTGCCACACTGGAGCTCTCAGCCCTCTCCTGCAGGGTGACCATGGGATGGGCCTCGCTCCCCAGTCCTCAGAAATGATCAATCATGCCCATAGTCCTGCTCACATGTGACTTTTGCTGTGGTGGCACAGCCAACTCACCTTGAGATGCTGGGCCTCCTCCTTGTCTGAAGCTGCTGCATGTTCAGCCAGTCTCAGCTTTTCCAGCTCTGCTTGCAAGCTGCGTGCCAAGCTCTGGGCCTGCAAAGGGACACACTCAGTGAGCACAGAAGCCAACAGTGCCAGCATCTCCCACACACCCAGCTCCAGCCACCCCGAGTGCCTGTGCGTGTGTCCTGCTGAGGAGCTGGGTGCTGCAGACACACACAGCATTGCTTCCAGCAGGGAGATGGCATTTCTCACATGGAGCAGCAGGAAACCCAGCTCAAGCCCGTAACCCTCCAAGGAAAAAGCTGGCACAAGACATGGGGGGGTTGGGAGAGCTGAATTTGAGGGGCCAGTGATGCCACATGGCTTTAGCACAGCTGCTGTAAGAAGTCCTTCAGATGTGGGAGGGAACGTCTCACAGGGATGTCTGAGGTGTGGACAGTGATGGGGAAAAGCCTTCAGATTAATCCTTCAAATTAATTCTTGGGCTTCATTAGCAGCCAAGAATGCAGGAAGGCTTTGCACACCCTGGTATCCTCTCACCCACACCCACCTCCTCCAGCTCCCGTGCCAGCTTTTGCCGCAGCATTTGCTCCTTCTCTGCCAGCGTTTCGTTCTGCTCCAGCTGGGTTTTCAACTGTGTTGAGAAGAGGGGAAAACACCCAGAAATAGCATTTAAAAAAGATTCAAGAAATGAGCTAGCAGGGACATCACCAAGAGAGCTGGGCTAGACAGAAGAAATAAATCCAGAAGCTTTCCCCACAGCTCCAAAGGGCAATAGGTACAAGCATCCCCCCTCTCTGCAGGGAGCTTGCTGATGGCAAGCCTGGGGCCTGGCTTAGCACTGCTCAGTTTTGCTTGCTCCTCAGGCAGCACCAGCTGGGATGTGGGATGAGAGGCATCCCATAGAGAAAATGTGCCTGGCAGACCCCCATGCCTGGGAGAAGGCTCCACAGCTAACAGGATTAAAGGAGAAAGAGCCCTGCCACTGGTGAGAGGTGTCAGCCATGAAGGGAACAAGCTGCTGCTGATGCCCTCAGCCCAGCTGCAGCAGGATTTATGGAGCCTCTGTAACCCTAATCCTCCCTGGCAGGGAAGGGATCCTGGCACAGCACTGTCAGGGGGGTGTCCCCTTCCTCTGAGGAGACTCTGAGCCCCACGGGGCACTGTCACCATCCCCCAAAGCTTGCCAGAGGGCTCCCAAAGGGAACAGCCTGCTGAAAACCAACTGCTATGGGAAAGGACACATGGTCAATGCATTCCCAGCATCCAGGATTCCAACAGGGGGGTGCTGGGCTGGCTGCCCCCCAGCACAGGATGGGACACAACACAGCTGAGAGAGCCCTGAGCAGAGCTGTGTGCAGCTCTCCATGCGGTGAGAGACGGTGACACGGGACATGGGACATGGGTTAGGGTCAGAGCCTGCCCAGGAGTGGCCTCAGCACCCTAACCTCGAGGGGTGCAGCCTCACTTGGCTCACATGGTGACCCCACTACTCCTCCCTCCTGTACTCAGCTGCTGCCTGACCTGAGGGATGAGCAGCAAGCCTGGCTCAGTGACACATCCCTGTGCCACAGCCTTCCCACGAGCCTACAGATAAAGCCTGCCAGATTTTTGGCTTGCACACCAGCTGGAATGCTTGAGAAACCACCTCAGTTTCTGCCAGAGCAGGACAGTGGTATCTGAGCTGGGCAGCTGCAGGCTCAACAGCTCCCAGGGGTGCAGAGCAAATGGTTCTACCTGGATGGATGGATGGATGGATGGATGGATGGATGGATACCCAAACCCCTGCCCCAGGGTGGTGTTGTGGTGACAAGTGTCCAGTGGTGGGGCAGCTGGGTTTTTCTGCTGCACACCAGCTTGAGCAAGCCTTGCTGCCCTCCCTTCCCACCCCATCACAGGAGGAAAGACAAGCAAATAAAAATCTCCTCCTGGGTCCCAGCAAGCCCCTCTGAACGTGTGGTCCCCAGCAGCACCAGGTGTGCCCATGCAGAGGCTGTGATTTCCTGCCCTCCCTCAGCCCACAGGAAGGGTGCTGGCCCCAGAGCTGCTTTGCAGGCCAGCCCCAAGGACCTAGCAGGGCATTCCCGAGGTGCCTCCTTACCAGGGCCAGCTCCTTGCTCTGCTTCTGTGTTTCAGTCTTTGCTGCCTCCAGCTGCTCCTGGGACTCTGACAAGAGCAGCCTCAACTGCCAAAGAAAGGAAAAAAACCCAACTCCTTTTGTGCACTTGGTTTAGGAACTCTTTGGCCCAAGGAAGCTTTTTTATGATGCAACATCTTCCCAAAGAGGTCATGGTGTCATCACATGCTGACGTGACTGCTCAAGCAAATACAGCCATGGGACAGGTCTGTCTCACCTGAGCCACAGAAACCACACAGGCCACCCAGGAGCAGCAGACAGCACCTCCACAGAGATCTGTCCTGTGTCCCTGACCCATCACCTTGCCCATGATTCTTGGCTTTAGGAATCTACAACCCAGACTGGACCAACCACCTCCATCTGTTTTCCTCTTTCTTTGCAAAGCTGCAGATCCCTGGGGCACCTCCCAGATGCCCAGGGCACTCCTCAAATCCTCAAAACGTGCATGGATGGGGAGTCAGGGTCAGAAAAAGCTGAAGAAGGCAGCAGCCTCCACACTTACAGCTTCAACTTCTTTTGTGTAGTTCTGGCGCTCGGAGCTGGCTGTCTCCAAGTGATTTTCCAGTTGTGCTTCCAGAAGAGAGGTGTATTCCTTTAGCTGGAAAGAGAGGAAAGCAGGAGGGGGTTGATTGTGTGAGGTCCAACACATCCCAAACATCCTGTGGCTAAAGGCAAGTCAGGAGATGGGGCCTGAATCAACCCGTGCAGAGACCTCCCCTCCCCAAAAATCCTCACCTGATCTGTGCTCTGCAGATCTGCTTTCAACTTCTCCACCACACCTTCCAGGGATTTCAGCTGCAGATGTGACTGAAGCAGAAAGGATCAGAGAAGGACACTGAGCACCTTTGGTTCAATCAAAAACTGGCTGCTATGTGATTCCCACCTTTCCCACTTCATCCTGTACCCATCCAAGGGGAGCTCCATGGAAGAGCTCTCCTTCCCAGGGAGGACAAGTCTAACACACACAGGCCATAAATGGTGGAGAAAGGCAACAGCTGTTGCCTGCAGCACTTCAGGTGGCTGCAGTCAGGTTTCAACACCCGAGAAACCATCATGAGACTCAGCACAAGCTTCCTGCTGAAAGCACTTTTTGGTCTGGAAGCAGCAATTTTCCAATGAGGTGGCATGGACTTGGTTATTAAGAGAGGCCAAGCTGCCAGAAAAAGCACTTAAACCCAGGCTGGTTTTTGAAGAGGACTCTGCAGAAATGTTTGGAAAGGAGGAATTCCTTTCCTCTCCACCGGGAGGCAGGATTGCTCTGGGAGCTGCCCTAGGCACCAGACGTTCTTCCCATCAGGAACAGCACCAGCAGCCACGTCACCCTGTGCAATCCCACAGCAGCCCTCAGCAGTGCTGGCACTGCAGGAGCCAGCAGTGGGCTGAGAAATCAAACATCTCTTGTACAACAGCCTCCCCCAGCTCCCTGCAGTCCCAGTTCACTCCAAAACCCCACGTGATGGATGGGGAGCAGCCAGACCACGGAAAACAGCTCAGTCTCAGTTCTGCATTCAGGAGGGAAGATTCTGCATGAGGTGGGCTTTTTGTCAACTGGCTTGGTGGCGGGAGGAGTAGATTTGGGGAGAAAAGGAAGGTCCTGTGTCTCAGTGTTCACAGCTGACAGAACACTGAGGGCTACCAACCAATTTACAGCCAACAGATCCCCTTCTCCTGGAAGTCCTGCTCCAGGAGCACCAAACCCAGCTGTGTCAGCAACACACACACCTTTTGGAGCTCCTCTTCAGAGGCTGTGAGCTTTGCCTTCCACACCTGCTCCTCCTCCTCCACGCTCTTCTGCAGGTTTCGCAGCATCCCCTCCTGTGGGCAGAGCCTCAGCTGAGCCCAAAGCTCCTGCAGCCCCAGCAGGCTGAGCAGCCTAAGGGCTGGAAGCCTCAAAAGCCTCTCCAAGGATTTGGGCCAAACAACAGGGGACAGAATTAGAATCAGGTGGGGCTGGGGGCTCCTAATCCCTATTCTGGCTCAAGCAGCTCATCAGAGCCCTTGCTGTGTCTCATTCCATCACAACCAGCAAGGTTTCCAACACAATCAGGCTGAAGAAGAGCTCTAGAAATTCACCTTTATCCTGTTCCTCTGTCTCACTGACAAATACTCCACCACACAGCAGCTCCCCCAACACACCATGCCCACCCTGAGCTCATGGGCAGCCTGGGCTGACAGGAGACCTCTCCAGAGGGGTTTCCAGTGGGAAGCCAACACAGTGCAAAGGGCAGGAACTTACAGTCTCTGCGAGGATCGTTCTGTACTGCTCACACTCTGCCTGTAAAGTGCTTTGCGCTTCCTCTGCTTCTTTTAATTTAAGAGCTGAATCCTAAAAGGAGAGGGAAAGGAAGGAGAGAGAGATGAAAAGAAGAAACATGTGACCCTCCAGCACACCCTCACCCCTCCACTTTCCAGCCATCACTTACTGGTGGCTCTGTTGTGATCATCTGCTGCTTTAGCACACCCACGGTCTTCTCCTTAAACTCCTGTAGCCACGTGTCATAGTCCTGAGTTTGGGAAAAAAGAGAACAAGAGAGAAGGAGGATGCTTAGACCTCTCTCCTTGCCATGAGGAGAGGCTCTGGGGAGGGCTGGGGAAGGCTGTCCCACCTGCTGTGAGGACACAGTGACTCCTGGCAGGGCAGAGAGCAGCGTCTGCTTGGTCCGCGTCTGGAGCGCATCCAGCTGTTGGGCCAGCTCTTCCTGAAACAGGGACAAACTGCAATGGATGGAGCTCCTGGGCACCTGCTGGCCAGGCTGACAACACTGGCCCTGCTTTTCTGTGCCTACAGGGCTGGGGAAACCAGCCAACACAGAAAACTGCTGGTGCTGGGAACCACTAAAGCATCACTTCCAGTTCAACCATGTCCCTGGTTCCCCAACCATGACCAGTACCAGGGATGCACAAGAAAAATCTTGGAGAAGCTTGCTGAAGAGTTGGACCAGCACTCTTCCTAAGCAGGCAGTCAACCCAGGGCAGGCCTCCCTGGTGGCTTGGGAAGCTGAATGCCTCCCTTCCAACACCAGGGCAATGCCAGGCTCACCTTTGCTTTGGTAGCAGCAAGCAGCTTTTCCTCACACGCCTTCTCCACCGTGGTCAGCGCTTCCACTGCCTTCCAGTTCTTTTCCCGAAGGTCCTGTGGAGACACCACCCACAGAGGGCAATGAGCCACACAAAGCTGCTTGCTGGCACTGCAGGGGATTTATTTCAAAGCCACTGCTTAGGAACTGGGTTTTGGTCAGGAGTCTGTCCATAAGCATTCCTTTCTCCTTTCCAGTGGCTCCACACACCCCATTGCTCTGGCAGTGCCCTGGATGGGACAGGAGCTCCAGAAGCAAGCTCAGGATGCCTGCAGGGGACAGAGGCCAAGTGCAGGGATGCAAGGTGGCCTCCACAAAAGTACACCACCTTGCAGTAGAGGGATAAGGAGCAGAGGAGCAGGAAGGTGTGAAGGAGCCTCCTCAGAGATTGCCTTGGCCCTACCAGGGTAGGATCTGTCTGGCTTAGCAGGTCCTAAACCTTCCAGGAGAGCAAGGGACAGACATGTCACCTCAGACAGCCCACCAGGGGTATTCCTGCTCTCTGGCAGATGAGGCAATGCCTCCAGGGCTCCAAGGGGCTGGAAGAGCCTCTGGCCACACCCTGGAGCCATCAGTAGGTGACCACGATGAGCTGTCTGTCACTCACTCACGTTGTTTTTCACCTTCTGTTGCTCCACTGCCTCCCGCAGCTGTGTGGCTTCCCTTTCCAAGGCTGAGAGCTGGTCTGTCTTCTCCTGGAGTCTGGAAGGGCAGGATGCAGGAGTGAGCCTGAGCAGTCACCCCCCTCACGGGCAGCAAGCTCCCGAGATGGAGACACAGCCCTTCCTATCCTGGTCTGCTCTGGCATCTACACACAGCAGGAGGAAGAGGGAGCAGGACTGAAAACCACAGCCATGGCAATACTGGAGTGGGATCTGGTTTTCTACCCCCTTACCAACAATAAAATGCAATCACTTAACATGCTGGCTGTACACACACAAAAAGAGGAAGAAGCAACCTGATGCAAAGGCCAGGAATCCTGGCTTGCACCACTGGGGCTGCTCCTATCTGTGGCTCATTAGGCTGAGAGAGCCCACAGCTCTGCATTTTGAAAGTATCATCCCACTGTCTTGAGTAACCCTAAATCAGGGCTGCCAACCAGAGAGCAGACAGCTGCAGGTTCCCTCCACACCCTCAGATCCCCCATGTGCCCTGAAGGGGACCCTCAGCTTGAGCAAACCAAGGTCCTTGAGAAGAACTACACACATCTCCTGCGGTCTCACGACAACTCAACAGCTGCCTTCTTTAGAGGGATGCTGGATGCTTGCTGGCAATGGGGGCATCTGAGAAATCCTCCCCTCATGCAGAGCCTTCTTGGAGGTGCCCAGCACATGGACAAGGAATAACAGGCAGGACTCATGACATGGGAAACTCCAGCTAAACGCCAGGAAACGTTTCTGTGCTAGGGAGTGGGGGAAGAGGTTATCAAACACTGGAACAGGAACCCAGAGTGGTGGTGAATCTCCATCCCTGGAGATACCTGGGAACATCTTTAAAAATCTTCCTCTGGTTGGCCCAGCCTCAAGCAGGAACTTGCACCAGAGACATCCCACACCCAGCACCAACACCAGCAGAACCTCCTGTTCTGTAGGAGTGGTCAGACTCCAGGTGCCTGCCAGCAATTCAGTCCTGCTTCAGAATGGACTGGCTGTTACATGGGGCCAGCACCAGAGCTAATTAATATTTTAATTGAAAATAAAGCCCCAAGCTTCCCTGGAAGGCAGGAAGCCCTCAGCCACAGGCTCAGTGCCCAAGGAAGCCTGGGACACATGGACAGCAAGCTGGAAGTGCCACTACTAGATGTGCACCTGGACCCACCTGGACTGCAGCTGCTTCATTTCTGCTTCATTGGCTGCCTGGAAGAGAGAAAGCACTTTGATGACCTGCCCCAGGGATGTGACACAGGTCAGCCCTTTCTGTGGCATCCCAGAGAGGATGCCAGAGCAAAGACAACTCAGGGATTGTGTAAGCAGTGTCACCCACTCCCCTCCTCCCACCCCAATTAAACGAGCACACAACCTGCAGGTCTCTGTCTTTTTCTGCCTCCCGCATCTGGCCTGCCTCCAGCAGAGCTTCAATGGACTTGATCCTCTCCAGAAGCTTTGCATTCTCTGAGCTGGCATCCTGCAGCTTCCCTTTCACACTGTCCAACTCCAGCAGCTTACTTTTAACCTCTGCCTCGGAGCTCAGCAGCTTGGCCTGCAGCTCTGTTGGAGGGAAGGGTGACAAACACAGTAGGGCAGGTGCAAACAAACCTGGACACTCCCCACCCTGTTCTGCCCACGCAGGATCTTAGCCAAAGAAGCCTTCCTTGGCCAAGGATGCTTTGGGGAGGCACAGAAAGGGCAGGCAGGGATGCAGGCCAGCACAGGAGAGGGATAGAACCACGGACCAGCCCATGTCTCGCTCACACCAACACCAGGCAGCCTAACTCATCCCTGGATCTATCAATCCTGCCCCAAGTGGTTCCTCCAAGCTCTCAAAGTCTCCAGTCAGCCCTACAGCCCTGCCCATGCTGATCCCAGTTCCTCACCAGCAATGCTCTGCTGCTGCCCTTTGGTCTTTTCTGCATCTGCCAAGAGGCTCTTGTAGCTGCTCTGGGTTTTGCGGAGCTCGTCGCTGACCTCATCCAGCCTCTTCTGCAGCATCACCTCTGCCTCCCGTTGGTAAGCCTGCAGGGCAGGAAGAGAAGGTTTCCTGGAGTGTGACACACACCCCAGCCAGTTTGAAGCAAAGCTTCATGTGTCACATAATCTTATTTTTAAGCTGTGTTTTGGGGGATTAAAGTCGTCTTCCCACCACGCTCCCCCTGCGCACGGAGCACCCCGCGTTGTGCTCACATTTCATCCCATGCCAGCCCTCACATTGGGAAGCAGACAATACCCAAATGTCTCAGTCCTGGGCCAATTCCATGGCCAACCTCTCCTCTGGAGAGCTCTGAAAAACCTCCCAGAGCCCCGGTTCAAACCGCCCCAGCCCAGCAGGGAGAGGTGCTGGCACGGGGCTTTGCAGAGCACAGACACCCAACCACACTTCCACAGGAGGAGGAACTGTCTGTGCCATTTGGGCCAGGGAATACTTTTTATTTTCCATCATGGAAAGCAGCAAGGAAGAGGCTGGCAAGGGCAGGAGTTTTGAGAGGGAAGGCAAAGGAGGAGAAGGATGAGTTGCAGCTTTACAGGTACAAGTGGCACTCTTGCAGAGGGAGAAAAATTGCTTTGCATGGAGGGGACAGGAAAAGGTAAACCAGCAGGCCTGTCTCTGTCCAAGGGATGCTTTCAGCACCACCAGGAAAGCAGAGCTGCTCTGGTTTTTGAGGATTTGACTCAGCTCAGAGCTCCATGTGTTACTGTGGAACACATTCTCCCCAGCACCTTAAGCCCATCCCTGACTTAGAGTCAGCTTGTGTGATTTATTTAATCAGCATTAAGGTGTGCAGAGAGCTGACATCCCTGGAGTTCTCCCAAAAGCATGCCTAGGAGCTCCTGCTTTGAGCAGAGAAGCAGCTCCTGCCTTCACACTAGCTGTGAGCTCACAGCACCCTCCTTGCTCCTCAGCTGCAAAAGCAGCAGGAGCCAAATGCAGCCCACCAAAATGAGAGCCACATCTTCAGGCACGCAAAAAATTAAGAGCAAGGATATGGAAGTTCCCCTTCCTCTAGGAACTCCTCTACAAAACTATTTTGGCACATGCAGATAAAGGTCTCTTCCACCACAGCCCCTTCTTGAAGAGGCCAGAGCAATTCAGAGACATCCCTCACCCTGTCTGCTACACAGGGATTAATGCTCCCAGCACACAGCTTAGCAACATCCCAGCAGGATCCCAGCAGGAGCACTGTCAACATCCCAAGAAGATGCTCTTCCCTGTGTGAGCACAGCCTGACAGCAACACACCTCTGTATGCTCACAGGCTCTGCTTGGGAGGTGTCCTTTCAACACCCCTAAAAACCCCCAAACCCAGCCACTCCCTGCTGGCAACTAAAAAAGCCACAAGCTCCATCTCCTCCACCAGGGAGAGGGAGATGGTTTTAAGCCACAAGCTCAAAACCATCTGAGTTTGAGAGAGAGAGCACCTGGAAGAATGGCCTCAACCAGGGCATGCTGCTCCCTGGGCTCTGACAGTGATGTTACACAAGGGCCACAGGGAATGTGACAAGCTAATGGGGGGCAGAGCAACTGGGAAGCCTGCCAGGCAGCTTCCTTCCCAACCATGGACATTTCTGTCCTTCCCAGCCCTTCCCATGGCCAAGTGCATGGATCCATTCAGCCACCCAGCCCTGCAAGGGGAGAGGGTTTGCAAGGGCCTGCCTGACCTGCAGCTGCTCGATTTGCTTCTCCGAGGCCGTCGCTTTGATCTCCCAGCTCTTCCTCTGCTGCTCCTCTTGCTGCAGCACCTCTGACTTCTCAGACAGCTCTTTCATCAGCTTGCTGCACTCCTGCCTCAACTTGGCCAGCTCAGCATTTTGCCTGCAGCAACAGAAGCAGGGTTATTTCAGCCCACAGGCCAGCCAAGCCTCCCTGGTGTTGGTTGGGGGAAACACATCCTCCCGTGGGCCTGATACAGGACTTGAAATGGTGAACTTTGTTTGCCTGTTTCTAGGACACTCCTGGTCCTTCAGGGAGGGGGTGGAAAGAGCCAACAAATCACTTTTTAAAAGCCCTGTTTCAGTCACAGGAGACATTCCTTTCTTATGAAGTAGAGGACACATGGATCTGTGTTCCCAGACACAAGAGGAAGCACTACAGCTGGAGTCCACTCTGTAATTATTTGCCTGCTGTTAATCACCAGTCATTTCAGACTGTCGATAAAAAGGAGTGTGAAATTCTTCTACCTAGCTCCTATTTGTCCTGTTCTCTGTAGCATCACTCCCATCAATGAGCTGGCAGCATTTCTTCTCAAATTTGAGAGTATGAGCTCCCCTATGGGGGAAAAACACCACAGTGCCTTCTGATGCCTTCTCCCACCTCCACTGCCTGTTGGATCTGGCATCAGCACAGGTGACCCCAAAGGAGAGAGGGATTCCCTGCCCTTTCACTTGGGAAGAACACCCTTGTTTCTCCTGGTGCACCCTCAAGAGCCATGTGGCAAAGCTCTTCCTCCCTCATTCCCTCCTCCACCTCCAGCTAGTTGGGGTGTCTGCAGGAGTACCTTTGGGAAAGGGGGTGGTCAAGCCAAGGTCTGCCAGAGGGCAGCCCCAGGCTGTGCCCCTCCTCCCAGCCTTACTTGCTTTCCATCTGGCTGGTGGCCTGGTTGAGGGCATCCCTGAGGATGGAGTTCTCCTGCTGCAGGCGAGCCAGCTGCGTGTTGGGGCCATTCTCCAGCTGTTCCTGCAGGGTCCGGATCTAGAGGAGCCCAACAGGGGTTAATGCCACCACCAGCCCTTCTGCTGCCCCTGTCAAAGCCCAGGAGATGAGCAGGAGGGACTGGCAATGCAGGGGAGTGTGTGCTGACGCTGACAGCCCTCAGGGGTGCGACATCCCATGAAGATGCTCCAACGTGCCTCTTCTCCAAAGAGGCTTGGAGGGGCTTTAAGGGATTGGGGGGGTATTTAGGGAGTGTGGGGGGTACCAAGTGGCTCTTAGAGGGGTGTGGGGGGACCTAAAGGGGTTTGGGAAGGGATCTGAGGGAGTTTAAGGGGCGTTTAGGGGGGGCCTTAAAGGGGTTTTGGGGGAAATTCGGCACCATGGCCCAGAAGCACCGCAGGCTCCTACCCCTTCCTGAGGCCCTCGCCCCCTCGCACAGCTCAGCCTTCTCCAGAATGTGACACAGGTGCCACCAGCAGCCACGTGGCAGAGGAAGGAGGCAAGTGCAGGGCTCATCTAGGGCTCACCTTGCCCTGGAGCTGCTGGGTCTCGCTGACATGGTCCTGGTAGCTGGCCTGCATCCGTGCCTGCACGGCCACGATCTCCCGCTCGCGGGCCAGCAGCTGCTCCTTCAGCCTGCCCTCCACGGCCCCCGCCTTGGCCCGCTCGGCTGCCAGCTCCTTCCAGGAAAGGAGGCTCCCAGTTAGTCCTCAGAGCACAGGTCTCCCCATTTGAAGAGGATGTGGCCTCCTAGCTCAGCAGACTACAAAGTTTAGCCCTTTCGTTGCTGCCCCCACGCCCAGGTACATTTAGCACTTACATTTCCTCCTGCATTTTGTTTTGGGCTCTGTGGCCACTGGATGCCACTGTTGTTCCATGTTGGGCCAGCTAAGAGAAAGGAGTAAGACAGCCTGGAATTTTATTTTCCTCCCCCAGGATAAATAATATCACACAACGTTTGGGGCAAAGAAGAAAAATTAAGCAGATGGACTTGACAGCCACAAGTTCAGCGTGGCAGGGATCTGTTCTGCCTTCAACACCCAAAAAGAGGTGGGGGCAGGGGGCTGAGTCAGGGAAGGGCACTGTAAATAGGATCAGGTTCCTTACAAAGGCACCATCTCAGCTCAGGGGAGCTGAAATGAGGGAGGATTTGCTTTTCTCCCTGAAGGAGAAGAAAGCTGCAATCTCTCACAGAAAGGGTTTTCCACTGCTTCTCCATGGCTGCCAATGGGCACTACCCTGAGGTTCTTTGGGCTGGCACCTCCCCAGACTGGAGCAGCTCCAACAGAGGAGGGCAGGGGGGGAGATCTCCTCTGCTTTTTGGGAAGAAAACAGCCAACAGGTGAAGGGTCCAAAGAGCCCCATCAGGGGGCTGAGATGTGGGGAACAGGAGGCACGTGGAGAGCCACCATGAGCAGAGGCCACAGCGGGGATGGCAGGAGGGACACCCAGGGCTTACCTTGCTCAGCTCCCGCAGTTTGTTCCTGGCAGCAGCTGCATCCTCCTGCTCAGCTGAGAGCTGCTTCTCCTTCTCCTCCAGCTGCCGTTTCAGGACAGCTACAGGGTCACCCTTCTGCGTGGCCTGCCAGCATGGGGTGGCACATCAGTGGGGACCAACACCTTCAGAGCCATCCCCTCCACCCCACACACACAGGGGACATCCTGCCCTCTGCTCCAGGGGAAAATTCAGCTCCCTTCTCCCAGACACCCTCAGGGCCTCAGCCTCAGCCTGCCTGAAAATAGGGTGCTTCCCGTGCCCCTGCACTTCCTGAGGCTCAGCAGAGCCCTACCGTGTGCCAGGTGTCCTGGATGATTCCTGCTTTCTCCGTCAGGATCTCGATGAGCTGCTGGGCCTCCCCCTCACTGAACACCATGCTGCTGACTGTGGACACCAGTGTCTTGTAGGGCAGGTACAGGGCCCCATCTGAATCTGCAGGAGCTGGGGAGGAGAGAGGAGAGATTGGGACTTCTGGGGACAACAGCACAAATATTGTATCATCTCAGCAGGCTTCAAGCCCACAGCTGCCATCTCAAACCATCATCCAACCCAGATTTCCAGAGTCATATTTGGTATCTGTGAGTGAGAACAGTAAGAAAAGCACTGGAGATGGCACCACACACATGCTCCTTGAGTCACCTGTCACCTCTGCCTGGCTCAACAACTGGTCCCAGCACCTGCCATCATCCCTACCAAACTGAGAGACTCTCACCAGGAGCTGGGAGTGCTTTTCCAGTGCCAGGGGGCTCAGACATGTCAGGCATCAGAAGCTGGACCACACCAAAATACAACCTTGCTGAAGGATGTCACTCCATGCATCCTTCACAGTGGTGCCAGTGACAGCAAGGTCATCTCCCACCTTTCACCTGCCAAGCCTGTTCCAGCTCTTTGCTAAGGGAGCAACATGACTCCAACCCTTCCCCTGCTAACCTGGGAAAGCCAGGGAGCATCAGGGACCATGATGCTGTTGTAGGACCTTAGTACACATGGTCACAATACACAGAGGCAGTGGTTTAGGGGTTCCTGCATGTATCTGTGGCCCTGTGGGCTCCTCTTCCTAGAAAACCACAGAAGGAAAAGCAGTTTGGAGTCCAGTAGCTCCAGAGCCCCTGAAGTCATTAACACCAGAGTCTCTTGAATACAAAGCTTTGGATGCCCCAGACAGAAAGGTTCAAAGAAGAAGGAGGAGGAGGAGGTGCTGCAGGTATTGGAGCAGAGATTCTCCTCTAGAGAATGGACCCCATGCTGGACAAGGTTCCTCCCAAAGGACCATGGAAGGCCCCACACTGGAGCAGGGGAAAGGTGTGAGGAGGAAAGAGTTTGCAGAGGGTGGCTGTAGCAAACTGACCACGCTCCCCATCCTCCTGCACCACTCAGGGATGGGAGGTAGAGGAGTCAGGAGGAAAGGAGTGAAGTTGAGCCTGGCAATAAGCACAGGAGGTGGTGGGGAAGGCATTGTTTTCACTTTAAAAAAATCTCTGTTTCTCATCTATTTTACTGAGGAATAAATTAGTTTTCCCCAGGTTGAGTCTGTCTGGCCAGTGACAGTAACTGAGTGATCCCTGGTAGATCCATCTAGAACAGCAGTGCCAAGCCCTGGCAGCAGCCGTGTCTGTGTCCCCAGCCACAGCCACTTCCCAGCAGTGCAGCCAGAGCAGCTCCACCCCCGTGTGCCACCAGGGCCCGAGGCTTGGCTCACACTTTACTCATGCTGGCAAGTGCAGGGCTGCAGGACAGCACATGGCATCCCCTGGCTCAGCCCTGCTGCGTGCAGGGACACACCACATGGAGTTCCGCCCCTCTCCAGGTGGAGTCGCAGGAGAAAAACACCCCAAGCCACTCCTGTCAGGTTTGCCATCTGTTTCAGTGCTTAGGATGTGTCCTTGAGCACTCTGAACACCCATTTTTATCTGCCACAGAATAATTTGTTCCTTTGCATTTGATGAGGAGAGATCACAGCTGCTGAAAACACGTTGGTCAAACTGCAGTTGGCTTCATGGCACAAATCTACCCAGAACTTTCCTTTGCAAAATCCCACATCACTCTTCACTTTCAGGACATGCAGGAGTGGCACTTCATACCCAAGGGAATCTAAGTTTGGAGCACCCAAAAACCTCCCAACTTAACAAATGCTAAAAGGTCATCTCCCAGCCACATTCCCTCAGCCGTCACAGCTTGGATTTAGGAATTTAGGGCTTGGATTTGTGCATTTTTCACATGGGTGCACACAACAAACCAGACACCTCCAGTTTCCCCAAGCCCACCATCCCTGCAATACCCTCCAGGAGCAGTCATTCCAAACCCCATCACCGTGTGGAGATGGTCTTTAGTAAAATCCTTCCCTCAGAAGAGCAGATTCAAGGGGTTTAACCCATCTTTGAAACCCAGCAGCTGCAAATGCCCTGCTGAGTAGCAGGCCCTCTTCCAAAATGTGGGTGTGGAAACTGCCAGGCTGCACAGCAGGTTTGGATGTGCTGCAGAAGGGCAGCAAGAAGGGATGTCTTTTAGTTTGGTGGGTTGTTTGTTTTTTTTGGTAAAGAAAGAAAGAAATCTATGCACATCACATGAATTCTTTGAGAACACCTGAGAGATTTCTGCCATGTGTCCACATGGGAACCCTTCCACAAGTCTGAAAGCACTCACATTTTTAGTGCCTGTAATTATCACTTAACCAAAAATAAATCCCAAACTGTTCCCACTGGTAAAATGAGAGGCCAGAATCCACCAAGAGATCTGATTTTCCCCTCCCTACACCTTTTTTATACTCTGCAGATTTCAGGACCACCTGATCTTTTCCATCTCTAAGTCAATCAAGTAAGGCACGACTTACGATGGGTAAGTTTTCCCTTCCCTGTGTGAGACCCAAAGTCACTTCCCTCTAATTTCTCTACAATCAATCCCCTGCAGTCTGAAACTCCATCAATCCTCTCTGCTTGAAGAATCCTTCTTCACCTCCACCAAAGGAGGAGGAAACACTAGCAGTGACCAAGTGTGGGAGAGCTCCTCTGTGCTTTTTAACAGTCAGGGTTCTATGGGGAAAACACCTCATCCTGGCTTTCCAACCAGATGTGCAGCACCTTGGCAGCTGTCCTCCCTCTCCCAGGACAGGGACATGCAGCTCTCATTCACTCCCACCTGCAGAGCCCACAACACAGAGCCCAGAGGAACCTGTAACTCTCCAACACCCGTGTGCTGGAGCAGAGGGATACAGGCAGAGGAATTTGGCCTCACCTGGCTCGCTCTTCTTCTTGGATGCAGCCTTCTTCTTGGCAGGTCCATCATGCTTCTGGTCCTCCTGGCCTGGGGGAGACTCGCTTTTCTTGACAGCGACAGAGCTGACGACAGGAGCACTTTGCTGGGTGCCAACCGGGGGCACTGCCACCACAGGCACCTCCTTGGGGGCCACCTCCCGCACGGGAGAACTTTTGGGGACGCTGACAGGGGGCGGAGCCAGCACCGGGCTAGGAGCAGGCTCCACCTTTGCCACCTTCTTCTCCTTCTTCCTCTTCTCCTTAGGTGATGGGACGGGTTTCTCCTTTTCCTGGGGGACAACAGCCACTGCTGCAATTGGAGTCTCGACTGCTACAGGCTCGGGCACCCCAGCAGGCTCAGGGAGCACCTCCTTGGGAGGGTCTGTCACTTCCTGAGTAAGCTGCTGCTCTGGGATCTTTCCATTCGGTTTCTCCTCCTTTTTCTTCGCTTTTCCCTTTTTCTCAACCGGTTTCTCTTTCTTCTTTTTCTCTAATTTCTGCTGCTGGCTCTTCTCAAGCTCCTTGCGTTGCTTGGCCAAGGCTTCCTCGTAAGATGTCTCCTTCATGGAGAAGGTGGACACCAGGAAGATCCCGATGGCTGAGATCACCATGAAGCCTCCAAAGACCATAACACCCAGCGTCTGAGGGTCGTACACATCCATCCTGCCTCGCTCCTCTGTGCCTGCAAGACACCAGGACAACAGTTAGGGGCAGCAGGGGAGGAAAGAAATGCAATGGCTTTCCTGAGAAGGATCCTCACACTGGCATCTGTGCCTTCCACTGGGAAGAGGAGCGCTCCAGGTTCACATGGCTCAGCCTGACCTGCCTGCACACTCCTGAATTTGTGCTCCTCTGCTACACTGCCCACGCACAGGGGTCCAGTTGTACATCAGTGACTAAATTTCATCTCCAGAAGAACCAAAGAGAAGGAAACAAAACCAGGGATGGAGTCAGAGACAGCCACGAGCCTCATTCTATGTCCAGTGGGGTGGTTTTGTACAACCCTAAGCCATACCTGCAGCACTAAGAGAGCCCACTTTCAGACTGCTGGGAGCAGGTTGGCCAAACTCTGGGCTTTCCCTGGAGCACCTGGCTTTTTCACTGCCCCCAGATACATATCCAGGTGTCATCTTTGGGACAAAATATCCCCCTGGGAGAAGAAAGCTGTGCAGCAGCCCTTCCCCTGCTGAGCAGCAGCAGAGACCACACTGCCTGCTCTGAGCTCTGGCCAGCAGGGTTCAGCCACACCTGGGGAAAGATGCTGCTATCTCCACTCCTTCTAATGGCTACTTGAACCTATCCTGGTTTCAAATCCAATTTTTGCTGGCCCATCCATGTGTTTCATCCACCAGGGCATCACTTCCATGTGGCTCTGAGGTGGCTCCCAGCCCCCCAGATGCTGCTGTCAGGCAGGTAATGTGGGAAGGGACATTTTCCAGCAGTTGCCATGGCTGTGGTTCCTCATCACTGTTACTCAAAACAGAACAAGCAAAATGCAGGAAGTCCTCAGCTACCAGGAGTTCTCATCCCCACAATTAACTGCTGACATTATCAAATTTCCTCTTTAAGGGGGTGTGGGTCAAGGAGGGAGGGAGGGAGGGAGGGAGGGGCTGGAAGGGGAGGAGGCAAAAATAAGACTAAAACTAAGGAGATCAGCATCTTTTCAAACCTCAGTGTTTGCAGGGAGACATCTCAGAGGCCCTTCCTTTCTAAGAGCTGGAGCAGCAAACTTGAATCTGCAGCTCAAAGCTGCTCGAGGTGGGGACAGCGCAGTGCAAACTCATCTCCAGCACCCAAGCAGGGGGTGCAGAGCTGGCAGGAGCTGCAATCTCCCACTGGAGACACCCAATCTGCCTGGGAAAGGATGTTCTAACCAGCTCTCCCTGCCCACCTCTCCAAGGTAAAGCAGCAGAGAGAGAAGCTGGCAGGCAGGAGTGCTCTCCATGCCAGCTGGAACCAGCCAGCCCTGTCAGGGCCAATTTTCTACCCCAGGGCACTGCTGGAGATCCCAGCTGATACTGCAGGCATCCCTCATTACTATTTCACATCTACCCTGGCCATTTGGCACTTGAATGGCCTCAGCCCGCTCTATCCCAGCACATCTGGTGCCAAGCCATTACCTCCTGACTAAGGAGCATTGCTTTGGGATGTCCCAACCAGGACAGACAGGTAATTCCTAACCACAGTGTGAAAAGGACTGGAATTCCTCTCCCTGACAGTAAATAAAAAGCAGGGCTGGAGAACACATACCCCCAGTCTTGGGCTGGGTTTAGGGCTATACCAAAGCACCCAGGAGCTGTTTTAGGGCCACAACAATGTGACCTACATTCCTCACCCAGCAACCCCCAACCTATTTGTAAAAATAAGCTCTTCCTGATCTCACAGCATCACAGTTTCAAATCTAGATAAAAATCCACTGCTCCACCTTGGGGCAAGGGCTTCCCCAAGTGCTGACAAACACACTCCAACCCCACCAGCTGGTACTGCCACCCTCCAAAGCAGCTTGATGGAGCCCACAGGGGATGGGAATGGGGCAAGAAATCCTACTCTCCACTAGGGAGGATGGATGAGAGGACAGGGGTGGTGAGGTGGGTGAGATGGCAGTGCTGGATGTGGCATCATGGCACCAAAGCCCTGTGCCTGCCCATCCTTACCCCACAGGACTGTTCCCAAAGCCCTTCCAGAGCCCCATACCTTCTGTCCCTTGCAGAGAGCCTCACCCAGCTCCATGGGCTGCAGTAAAAGCTGCCTGTACCTTGCCTCCTGCTCTAAAGCCAGGCTGAGATAAGGATGTAAATGAGCACTAAAGTCCTTCCTATCGACACAAAAGCACCCCAGCAATCCCCTCCAGACCAAAAACAACACAGGAACAATGCAGCTGAGAGCACCGAGGAGCTGTGGACCTGCAAAAGAGCCCTGGCAGCTGCCAGAGCTCCTGAGGGCAGCCGAGATGCTCAGAAGGGCCATCCAAGCTCCCACTGCTCGAGCAGGGGAACCCCCCCATGCTGTTCCTGAGGACAGATGTGCCAGCAGAAGATCCACAGGAAGGAGAGAGAGGTGCCAGCCAGGAAATGATCCCTGCCAGCAGCAAACCTTGCTGCTGTCCCAGCGCTCCTGCCCCGCAGCCCCGAGGGAGGAGCGAGTTCTACCTGTAGGGTTCCTCCTGTGGTTGGGACTTGGCATGGCCAGCCCAGCAACTTGTTCAGGGAAGAGCCCATCTCTCCAACGGGGCACAGACAGGCTTAAACCAAGCCAGGCTGGCCTTGGCATTTGGGGGATAAGGAAAAATCTTCCTGCTGGAACTTCCTGGTGCAGAGATGCCAGAAGCGTTTATGCCACGGTGTTAGCAGCCAGGAGAGAAGCTCTGCTTTGACATTCCCTGACCTTGCCACCTTTGCCCTTCCAAGGGCTGGAAGTTTGCTCCTGGATTTGCAGAGCAAGACACCATGCCCCTCACAAGCACAAGTTCCCCTCTGTGCTTCCCACCTGGACAAAGTCTTAGCCAGGACACGGCAAAATGGGGCACCAAAGGTAGTCTCACATGTTCAGCCTGACAGCCACGCTTTGGAGAGGCTCCAAGACTTCAGGATCCTCCCTCCTGTAGCTCCTGGTCCTTCACAGGGCATCACTCCTGTGATGGCATTGTTCCACCTGGCTGGGAGAGAGCTGTGTGCCCAAAAAGTGAGTGGACACCAGCAGACACGGACTCCATGCTCAAAATATCAAGTTCACATCCAACACTGAGCACATTTACTTCCACAACGTTTCTGAAGTATCCTCCACTCCTCTCCCAGCCAGAACAGCAGAAATCATCTAATATCTCTATACACAAACTCCTTCCCCAAAACAGCTGGTCCAGGTAAAGCCTTTCCCCACATCAGAACAGGAATACAGTGAACAACTTCACTTGGTGTTCACTTGGCCTTCTCATGTAGAGGAGCTGGCTGAAATGCTGTGCTCTGACTCTTCCACTCCTGTGGCTTTTTCCTGTTATCCATCAAGCTTCCCAAAATCCCAGATAACAGCCCAAGAGACCTGACCTCCCTCACCCTCCTGCACATGTAGCCACCTCTGTTTGACCTGAGCCAAAGTCCAACTCTGCCCTAAGGAAGCAGAACCAGAAAAGCACTCAGCCCTGCTGGTTTTTCAGCACTAAACAATTTCCAGGATGAACCAGCCCACAGACACGTGACACAACAGCACCAGGGCCGTGCTCAGTGTCTTGTGGTCACATTTGTCACTGACAGCTGTGTCAAAAACCAGGCTGGAACCGTGCCACCTGCTCAGCCTGTCCTCCCTTCTGTGACCATACGTGAAATCCATGGGAATTCAGCATCTTTATGACCCAGCCCTCCACCCACCCTCATTTAAATCACCCAAGCCACACAACAGGTGGGCAGGAGCAATGGGAGAGTCAGGTTGTGCAGTAACTACACAGATCTTATTTCTTCCCACAGCCAAAGGAAAACACACATTATCTCCTCCTGGTGTCGACAGGTGCTGCAGACAGGAAAAGATGCTCCTGGCCAGCAGGACACTGACCCCCTGCACCCTAAGGCTTCCACTTTGCCATGGTGTGAAGGTGGCATCTCAGTTTAGAGCAAGGCAGCAGGGGTGATGAGGGGCCAGAGGGCAGAGAGAGAACTAGGTTCACACAGACAGGCTGTGCATAACCCACAGCAATGCCTGCCAGTGAAGCTCCTGCAGCATCCCTTCCTCTACATATCCTAGCAGCTAAAAAAAAAAAAGGAGGGAAAGGGCAAGGACGAGGGAACTGGGAGGCCAGTTCAGCAACAGCACTGCCAGCAGATAAAAAAACAATCACCAGATACCTCTCCTGGAGTTTTTCTATCCACCCTGTTGCAATAGAGACAAAAATTAAAAACAAATGAGAAAAGCCTGCACGCCGTGAGCAGATCCTGCCCACGTTGCCAGCAGCCTCTGTTTAAGTACATTTTCTGTGTAAGTGACTGTGCACTTCCAGCCTCCCAGCAGCATGTGCTACTCCACACAGCAACTCCAGATCAGCCCATCATCAACAGTTACAGCTCGGCTTAATTGAACGTGTCTTAGTGCTCCATTAGCTCTGGCAGCAGCAGCCAGCTGGCTTGTACTTGCCAGCAGTGCTGCCAGCTCCCTTCCTCAGCCCAGAAGTGAGAAAACAGGCAGAAAATACATGGGTATATAGGAGAAGAGTGTAACAGCACCACAACACAGCTGCAGCTTGACTAAACTCTGCAGCGGCTATTAGGAATTCTCTCTCCCCTCCCTGGCCCGAAGAGGCATTTCACCGCCGCTCCTCATCAGCTCCTCTCCGGGGCTCACATCCCAGGCAGCCTCGACTCCTTGCAGCCCTTTCCCGCCGGTGCAGGGCTTCGACGAAGGTGAGAGCTGGCACTCCGGGCGCAGACGCTTCTGCATGCCCTCAGCCACGTGTGCAGCACACGCTCTTCCGCTGGAGCGCGTCCCCGGCGGGGCGAGGAGAGGAGAGGAGCGGGGCAGCCCCGCGGGAAGGCTGCTCCTGTGCCGGCTGCAGGGAGCCCACGGCGGCCGAGGGTCTCCGCCTGGGGGGTCGATGCCTCTGTCTAATAAAAGCTCCGCGCTGCCGGGGGTCTCCGGGTGCCAGCAGAGTTTCGTCGGGGGGGCTTAGTTAAGGAAAGAAAAGGGACAAGGGACAGCGGCCCGAGCGCCGGGACCTTCCTTCAGCGAGTTAATCAGATTAGCAATTGTCATCCGGCCGGCGCTGGAGCCGGGGGCAGCGCGGGGCCCGGACCTCGCCCTGCCCGCACACGCCGCCATTCCGCGCTCAGGGCCATTCATCCGCCCGGCCCCGCCGCACGGACCGGACCCCGCGCCGGGACCGCCGCCGCCGCTGCCCGCCCTACACGGCTCCGCGCCGGGGCTGCCGCCACTGTCCGCGCCACACGGCTCCGCGCCGGGGCTGCCGCGCCTCGGAGCTCCCGCCCCGCTCCGAGCGCCGGGGCCGGGGGGTCCCGCAGGCAGCGCGGGGGGATCGCGGAAGCGCTGGCCGGGGAAGGGGCCGGGGGAAGGAAGGGCTGCCCTGCCGCTCCCCCTACCCACCCGTGCCGGGTCGCGGTCCCTGTTCTCCGCCGCGGCCGTGTGGAGTCGTGGCACTTTCCGCCGCTGTCTCGCCGGGCTCGGCCGCCGCGTCCCGCCCCGCCCCGTGGCGTCCCGCCCGCCGCTCCGCTCCGCGCCGCGGGGCCCACTCAGCGCGGGGCCGGGCCGGGCCGGGCGGGGCGGGGCGGCGGCGGGGCCCTCCCCTGGGGGAGAGACGCTGCCCCGCTGGCCCTCACGGTGCCTCCGCCGGCCCTCACGGTGCCTCCGCGGTCCCGCCGCTCCGCGGTCCCGCCGCTCCGCCTGGGCTGCGTTGGGGCCGGGGGAGCCCCGGGGAGCTTTGCCCCCGGGCTGAGCCGCCGAGGATCGGTGTGCGCCGGGCGTAGCTGCCCGCCGGCCTTGCCCCGGGTGTCGGCCTCATCCCTGGGGCACAGCGGGGAGAGCGTGGTGCGGGATCTGGGCAGCTCCCGGCCGGCGGTAGGGGTGCTGCTCCGTGCTCCTCAAGGGCTAGGTGTGAGCACCAAGGGAGCAGATGGGACCCGAAAGGTGCCCGGCCCCTGCGGGAGCCTTTTTTCTGGGTTTGCAAATGTTGTGCGGTTAAACAGCGCTGGGACTGGTCCATCACCCAGCAGCTTGCAGGTCCAAGGATAGGGAGAAAGCCGTGGCCACAATGGCCAGTGCCATGCAGGATAGTGGCTGTCCTCTTGGCACATGCCTTCTGTGTGTCTCCCGGCCTCCCATGGCAAGATTTATCAATCAAGTGCCTATTCACACCAGAGGGAGATTTCTATCTGGAAGTGGGTCAGAAGGGACTCCATTCACGTCAGAAGCAACTGCCAGGCTGAACCACTGGAGACGAGCCAGAGCATCTTCAGGAGATGCTGCACCCTGCCAGCCTGTAATAAAAATATGAGAGCCATTTCCCCAGGAACAACACCCTGACACCCAACCAAGCGGGAGGGTGAGGGTTGGCAAGAAGGGTTGGTCTGAAAGGGTGGAGGTTTGCTGCCTACTCAAACACACGTGGCATTGGCTACACTTTTTATCCCAAAACAGACAAAATATCTGGTCTTGAGTGGGAGTATGTCTCCTATGCCTCCATACCATCAGCCAAGCTCAGAGTTGTCTCTTTCCCTACCCTGCATTCTCCTTGGCCATGTTTGAACCAAGCTTCTGCACTGGCTGTGGAGTAAGAAAGAAATATATTAAAAAGTGTCTGTGAGGGAGTGATAAATCACCATCACAGCACGGGCTGTGGGGACCTTCCAGCCTCCTGGCTTGGCACATCAACATTATTGTGTTTCAGTGGCCAGACCTGCTCAGGGGGTGCCACTGGGGCTGCTCTCAGTGGTGTTCCTGGGATTTACATCAGCTGCTGCTGGATTGTCACCCCCTGCACGGAGAACAAGCCGTGCTATTGAGGCCAGGCTGGGGAGGGCAGCAGCTCCTGCCCACAGCCTGGTACATCTCGACACAAGGGCAAGGGGAGAATAAGTGACTGTTTCATGAGGGCTGATGTGGTGGCAGAAGAGGAAAAATATGCTAATGGAGAAACGTTTCAACTAATTATGATAACACAGCTTCTGCAAGGGGACCTGAAATGGACACAAACACTTCTTGGCACTCATGAGGACTTGGAGGCTCTTTTGGGTTTTCTTTTGGGGCAGGGCAGGGCTCCCCACTTCGAGCAGGACCTGCACTGGGAAAACCCACGATGGCCATGATGCCTCCAGGCAAAGCCATAAAAGTTTGGGATCCATCCCTGCCTCAGTCCACCTGGGACCATCAGCTCATTAGACTCCCCAGGGACCTTCTCCAAACCAAAGCACTTGGATGCAGGAATACAGGGGCTGAACAGCACCCATGTCCCCAGCCCTGTGAGTCCCCATTTCCCTGGCTACTTGAGTGGTGGAGCATGCAGCCAGGCACCCCTTCCAGCCCCCTGCGATGCCATCACCGTCCTGGGAGGCCATGGGTGCTCTCTCATGCCTGCTGGGTGTAAGAGACACGAGGCTGGGCTCTCTCAAGCTCTCTTAGCAAGGCACTGAGCACTTCACTGGGGCAGGGACGGGCAGGCACAGCCCCAGCCAAGGGGGCCATGGGGAGCTGGGCCTGTTCTCACCCCCTCCAGCCAAAGGAACAAGTGAGTGTCTGCTTCAGCATGGAACAGTAATGAGGGCAGGGCAGTGGGGAAATGCACAGTGAGGGGTAAAACCCCAGGCAGACAGAGCTGAGATGTGAGCCTGGGTGTCCTCTGCCACCATGGCACAGATGTGCTCAGGGGAGCCCTCCCTCTGCTCCTTCCCCAGCTGTGTTTGGGGTCTGTAGACAGATGTCTGAAACCCTTGATTGCCCTCAGTTCCCCGGCCCCTGTGTGGCTGGAAGCTGTCTCATTCCAGAGTGTTCTTCTCAGCACCCACAGTCCCTGTTGGTCTATTCTTGGGTCTTTCCCCTCACTTTATAAGACATCAAGTGGATACCTCCCATCATGGTGCTTCCCTCTGCACGTATGCTGTTCATCCAGACCACTGGGATAACATATTATCAGTGTAATTTGATTTCACCTTCATAATGAAGGCATTCTCCTTAAATACCAAATTTTCCTTAAATTCTCCCAGCTCCTGCCCAGAGGCAGAATCCAGCCTAAATCCAGAGGTCTGTGTACCCTGTTGTTAAAAAAACCAAAGTGCTGACAATTTTCCACGGTCGTCTTCACTACTAGAAAAGTTTTTTTTGGGTTCAGTTTGAAAATCGCTTGCTCCAGCTCAAGTTTTTCAGTTTCTAGTTATTTTTGCATCCACAAGTCTTTGGCTGTTGGTGAAGAAGCTGTTGTTTAGCCCTGGAATGGCTCCAAATCTTTCCACTGGGTGTATTAGTTATCCTGAACTCCTAACCATAGCTGGGGTATTTTTAGCTCTGCACAGCAGTCATCAAACAAACGCTGCCACAAGGTCTGCAGGACTCCCTGAGGTCCCCTGCAGCCCAGCTCCTTCTGCAGCTCCAGGCTCAGTTGTGCAGAGATGACCATGAAATCCCACCTGGGGAGCCACCCAGGACTGTGACCAAGGGCTTTGTGCCACCCCCATGAGATCCACATCCAGGCTGTGGCCGAGCACATGGACAGGCACAGCTCATGCTTTCTTCCAGGAGAGCAGGGAGCTCTGCCTGGCCTTGGTGGTGCCTTTGTGGAGGTGTAGAGGTGCTTGCCCCCCCTCACTCCCACCATGGAAGTCTTCCTGCTGCAGAAATGCACCAAAAATCCAGTAGGAACAAGAGCAGGGCAGCCCCTTGCTCCAGACTCGGCTGCTGCCTGCTCTGTGGACATGATGCTGCGTTGTCTCCTGGTCAGGCTGATCCTCCAAGCAGTACCACATCCACACTTGATCTTTTTGAAGACTCTGGAAGCAGCCTCCCCTTTTTCATAAAAGAAGGAATCAGTCTGTCTGGCCTCCCCCTGGCTCCCTGGCAGTTCCTCCCAGCCTGCGTGCCTTGCCAAGCCCTTGCTGGTCTGGGTTTAATAAGCAGCAGCTCTGCTCCAGGGATGGAAATTAGAGGTGGATGCTGCAGCAGAGCAAAGTGCAGGGATGTGGTGGCAAGAGTTTCTGGATCCCTCCTCACCCCTGTTTCTGCCATGGCACAGCTGAGGCCTGGCTTAGAAAATGCACCGTGCCACAGCTGGATTTGCTTCTGTACCTCCTGCATGGCCTCCTTGTTTTTCCACCTAACTCCACATGGGATTGGAAAATACCACTGGAATATGAAATATGAACCAGGACCTGCAGGATGACCCCACGTCAGTGGGCTGGCAGCCAGAGCCCAGTGGGACAGCCCAGTTCCCAGCAGACACTAAATCCCTGTGTCTCTGCAGCTGGGCTTTGCCCTGGGTGTTTGTAAAATAACACTTTTCCAGGAGAACTCCTGGTGTTCGTGCCTTAGATCTCTGTTCTGCTGTTCCCCTGCCCTGACAGCTCTGCTCTGTGAGGTGCCCCAAATGCTGGCAGGAGGAGTGCAAATCAGGCAGTCACCAGAAGCCAAAAGTTCAATGAGTTCATCTTTGGGTCCACCGACAGTGGAAGTGTTGTTAGAGAAGTAGATTGGTAAGGAGCTTGGAGTTCAATCAGCTGATGAAGGGTTTAAGAAGGGAACCTCTTTTTTTCCTCCCCACTTACTTTACTTCCCATGTTGCCCACTGGCCTCATTGTGGCATCCTTGCTTCTGCCCTCCTGGCATAACTGAGCTCCCATTCAGGTGGAACCCCATCTGAAATTGGTGGAATATTGCACTGGGCCATCTGAAGGCATGAATAACAAATGTGGTTTGTAATGAGGCAAGGTTAAATATCCATATGCTTCATCTGTTCCTCCATCCCTCACTGGAGATGTTTTAAGCAGAATTTAAACCTGTTCTCTGGGAGGATTCACTTAAACAGCTTCATGTCCACAGAGGGAGGGTTGTGAAGCTACACCACCCCTGTAGCTCAGCCAGCAATGAAGGAGTGTTAAAACCATCTGATTTCAGACCCCCAGATGTATCTGCTGTGGATAAGGCTTGACACCAAAGAGACCTCCCAACCAGTAGCTTCATGCAAGCAGCTCCTGCTCTCTGTGGCACTCAAGAGCCATTAAATCAGGGCCCTGATTATTTTAATTATTTTCTGTGTGTGTGTGTATCTGTCTTGTTGGCACATGGAAAATATTTTGCATTCTCCTGTTAATTCTTTCCCAGAACTTTGCATTGTTTCAGCTGAGAACAATTCCTGGCAGGAGGAAAGCAGGACCAGGTGAGTGACTGGTCAAGGATGTGCTGGACAGGCTCAGACCCCATTTAGGATGGCTTGAGGTACCAGGGATGTGCACCCCAGCCTGTGCCAGAAGTTAACATTCCCTCTGCCACGATGACAGGGATGGGGATGCACCTGTGTCCTGTCTGCTGCTGGTCTCCATCCAGCACATACCATGGTCCCCCCAACCTCACAAAAAATTTTTGGGCTGTTTGGGGTTTTCTATGCACCGGTGGCCTGCAGGGCTGTAGGACCAGCTCTCTGTAGCCTCAGCATCAGCCCAA